ATATGGCTACCACAGCAAAAGCCACTGGCAACCTCACCTATACCACACGTTTAGAAATGGAAAGCCCACCAAGGAGTTCCAGTTACAGGAGTTGTGGTCTGAGCTGGAAATACAGTAAATGGCTTTTTTTTCTGTCAAACAGGATTGAATGTAAACTATCTTAATGTAATTTTTCCTTATTTTAAAAAGGGATTTAGACAAGGCAAATCACAACCTTGCATCACTACCTTTTAATGATTTAATACATACAAGTGCATCTCCTTTGGGTGACAGATTTTGTCAAATGACTGAAGAACAACGAAACTGCCCAGTTTCATTACGCTCTTCAGCAGGTGTTGGACCTCAAATAACACTGAAAGTAACAAACAGTGCTAAGGAAACTTCAATACAAAACACTGCTACACAGTAAAGAATATTCTTCGAAAGAAATTTTGCTCATAAGTGCTTAGTTACAAAAACATTTTAAACATTTGCAAAGGAAAAAATAATCTACTCACATCTTCAGTGTCCTTAACCCGTAAAATCTGTTCCCGCAGGTCCTGTAAGTCGTTAAACGTGGACTGTGCTGTTATAGAATATACTAGTGCAAACCCTTGACCATTCTTCATATAGAGATCTCTCATTGCTGTAAATTGCTCCTGTAATCAAATATTTTTAAAAGTAATTAGCTAGTGAATGCAGCTAATGAACATTTACAAAGGAACGCTATTATTGTAATGGACAAGTATATAGTACTGTACAGCAGGCTGTTACATTTTCACCCCTTACAGAGATCTACTGAAGCATGCAAATTTAATAGAAGCATTAACAACTTTTTTCCCTTTGTTTTTTTCCCCTGCTAGTAGAGAAAAAGGCTTCTTGAAAAAAACAGGAAAAAGATCAAGAGCAGCAAGAAAAATATATCTGCAGACAGACTGTTGTATGCCCTGAACCATAACACAAGGTGTGAAGATTTGCTTGACAATATCTTGTAGTGATCTTTCATTTATTTTCTGATATGGTGTTAAGCATGAGTCTGCCATCAGACCAATTCCCCAGACAACAAATATGGACTGGAAATTCAATTTCTCTTCTAACATGATATTGAAACAGGCCAAGGTGTCACATATTCGTGATTTATTGTGAGCACGACTGTGTGGGAAGGCACTGCCTGATCCCCTCTGAACATATGCAGTTACACCGTAGTCATCCCTAGCAGGAACATGGCTTAAAGGTTCAGTGAAATGCAAGGACAGGCTGGAAAATCTGTAGCAGATCAGAGCTTTGTCCACCACGCCTGTTAAGGAAGCCTCACCAGACCCGTGTAACAGTGATTTCTGCTTCCACGCCTTCGCACTGCTGCTGATAGTTTTATTTAGAAAGCTTTGAAAATTAACTTTTAGGAAGAATGTCCTCCCGCTGTGATGTGCACTCAGCCATCACAAGGTCTGTTTACTCAGTGACAAGACTTTGCAGGATGGCAAGTGACACTGGCGTGGCAGAGGGAGTCGCTGCACGTCCCCAGCTGCTGGCAGGCTGGAAGGATGACCTGAGTCTCCCAAAGCAGCACAAGGCAGCACCAGGGAGGTGCCACCTGGGTACAGGAGCATTCCCTGTCAGGTACAAAACCTTTACTGACTGAATCCTCTCTGTGTGGGCTGCTGTGACATGCTGGGAGGTGATCCCCATGCACTGCCTGGAAGTGGCTTCAATCTGTGTCTGTGTATTCTGGCCACTTGCAAAATTAACATGCAAAACTCTCCCTTATTAGAATGTTGATAGCAAGATGATGGTGAATGGCAAAGAAGAGGTGAGTGGCATGGGATGCACCAACCTTTGTGTGCCAGTACTGGGGTACCAGCTGGGGAATGGGTTCACAGCACTGCTGGCTCATTCACCACACTGGATTTTAGGTTAATTAATAAACCTGTTCAATTTAAATTATTGGAGCTGATCTACTGTTTTCATTTGGGCACAGTTATTCTACTAGTATAAGTTCTAATGTTAACATCTGACCTTATTCTTAATAAAGAAATTCCATATTAGAAACAGAAGTTATACTTACTGTCCCTGCTGTATCGAGGATTTCAAGCATACACTGTTGACAGTCTACTTCCACTTGCTGGGAAAAAAGGGAAGAGACAAATGCAGTTAAAACTAAAAAGTCTGAAATGAGACAGGCAAGAGGAATATCAGCTTAATTTTTACTTCTGCTGTAAAGACCTCTACAAGCAAACCAGCCACCTGCACGGCCCCAACACTAAGAGAGGCACCACTATTAGGGGATTAATTACACTCCAAGCCAGTCATTTGGGTCAGCTCACTTATGCCTCAGGACTCCATCAATTAAAAAGGCCTGAATGAGCCGCTCATTACAAACATCTCAACTTAAGTGAGGTAAAATCCACTCTTACAAACCAAAGGACCTTGAACTTCACTTGTTCTTTGCTGTTGGGGGAGAAGGAAGTAAGGAAGAAAAGCAAAAGTAAAATATTTAGTGATCCTCCCAGTTAGGCTTAGCAAGTTTTCCACTCACTGAGAAATGTCTCAGATCCAATGAGAGTAATTCCAGGAAAGTCAAATAAATTTATCATCAGAACTCATACCACAATTTACATTTAATTATCACAGGCAAGAATGTTAAGTTTTCTGGTTTGGTGCCTTTAATTATGGTAACATTTATGCTAATCTGTAAGACAATGGGTTACTTGACATCAGTGGAGTGAAGAAAGCAGCTCTGTTGACAGAATTACGTAACATGACAGCGCCAGGGATCCTGACAAGGCCTTTTGCTCAGCAATTACAAGCCTGCATCCAGAATGGCTGTAAAGAATTCTATATGCCTTCAAATCAAGGAGAACACATTTGAAATAAATGGCAAAACAGCCATTCCTGGGAGAAAACAACAAAATGCAATTGCTGTGCTACAGCAATACAACTTACTGTGATGACTGGCGTATGTGTCCTCTGCAATAACTTCTACAGATAGCACAAACATAGCAAATACTGGTGTCTTTGTGTTTTGAAGTAATAATCATATGTCAAATGAAAGCATTTGGCTTACTTTTACTAGTAAGCTAAAGAACCAGCTTAGTACTTCAAGCCAGTAAAGTACTCCATAAAGCCAAAGGAAACTACCTGTATGAAACCACTTCCAAGACTGCTGCTTTTCTCTGCATCACCTTCTTGCTGTGGTTTGATGCAGCCCTTAAGATTTTCTCAGAAAAAAAAACAAACCTTTCTCATTCTGATAAGCTTTTGTTGCATTATTATAAAGAGAGAGAGTCTCACTATGTGAGACTTGAAAGAAATAAAAATTATGTTATTTTACCTTTCTGTATGAATCTTCTATTGTTGGGTCATATTTTTCAACAAAAATTCCCTGAACGAACTGTACAGTCTGGGGAGAAAGGAAAGAAGGAAAAAATTAATTAAACTGAACAGGACCTGTAATGTTCACCAAGAAGCACTTTATGAAAAAGTAACCACACAAAAGCTACTCAAAACTGCTGATAAAATTCAAGAGTGGGAGCAGATACATGTATTTTCAATTTTTTAAAATAAAATTTGCACAGTTTCTGTTGTTTTAAGAATCACTTGATTCAAGCGTGTTTTCAAAACTTTTTTAAAATGTAAACTGCTTGTTTGCTTTTTCATAAAAGACGCCTCAAACAGGCCTCGACTTCAGTGCCTGTGGCTTTAGAATAAAAATCACCAAATATGGAAGACCTGAAATTTAATCAGAAGAACTGGCAATCTGTACACTGTAGAAAATCCACATTTCAGTTCAATCACATTAGAGTTACAGTGGAGCTACTCTGGATTACATTCCCAGTGCAGAGACATAGTTCAGAGCAGCAAGATAAATCTGGAGTGTCTCCAGGTACCCAATTTGTATTAAACCATTACAGAAGGAGACATCATTCATTTCAAAGAGGAAGTCTGTCTTCTCATATAAAAGCAAAGCTACAATAAACACGTCCCATCAGGCTGTCATTCAGCTGTGGCCCATCTCTGGACATCCAGGCTCTGTACGTGGCGTGCTCTGGCTCCTGCCAGTCTGCAGCTTCACTTGTCCTCTGCAAGACAAACTCTGATTTTCCTTTTCACCCCGCGTCCCACTGCTCTTACCTACCACAATCTGAAATAATGCAGCACAGGAGCATCTGGAGGTTTCGTTGATGTTTGTAAAACAAGGTGGTGTTTGTTTGTAAAACTAAGTGTCTCTTTAAAAATCAACAAACACACCAACTATCTTTTGCTAATCGAGCTTTCCACAAGTTTTTTTTTTTAACACCAATTCTGTGAAGTCACCACCTGTTTTGAGAAAGTCATGTTTTGTCTGGACAGAAGGCTGAGATTTTCTGCAAGAGGGCTGAGGTTTGTCACACAAGTACTTGCAAACCTTCAGAGTGGTATATACCAGGTACAGAGAGACATCTCACTGTACACAGCTCCTCATGGTTTGCTTTCTCTTAATACAGGAAGAAAAGATTTCTAGTCCTACCTCGTTTAAAAATCATCCTATATCACTAAATAAGCCCATTTTACACTCTAACGATCAAAGCTTTTGCTTCTTGTGACACTGAATGGTTGTCCCAGTCTGCTTTTCAGATAACAGATGTCAGCAAAATCATTATAATAAGATAATTTGAGGGTTGTGTGTCCCAACTCCGGTTTCCAGTTTTACACAGGACAACTGGATAATTTTGGTAATAACCATCTACCTGCTGACGCTCCAGAAGGTTTTTACTCTCATTAGAAATGGTGAGAAAACTACCATAGAGGAAACACTTGTAAAGAAATCACCAATAACTGCTTTAGTAACTATCTAGGGCTTTCTGCTATGCTGCCATCATCACCAAAAGGCACAATCAGCATCATATTGGCACAGAAGAGTTAAAACAAGGAGGATTTTCAGTGAAACAACACCATATTGTCATCTACACTCAGCCTGTAAAAACACAGAACTGAAAACAAACACCAGCCTCTTTGTTAGACATTTTAGTTTATACAGGTCAAAGAAAGAAATTTTAAAGTGACCTCTGTATTGTTTTAAATCCCACTTGGTAATCTCTCCTTGCTAATTCTTGTAAATAAGTAGACAGTCACCTTGAAAGCTAAATAATATGCACTCTTAGCTAATTGGCACTTATTGTGTCCTGTTATAAACATAATGTATCAATGCTGCATATGAATTATAATATATGCTTACTTAGCACCTAGTCTGTCAAAAAGCATTTAACTTTTGTGGACCAGACTAAGTATTTGCATTTCAGCTTTTAAAAAGGCCAGTGACGGATGCTGACTCAGACTTCACCTCACAAATAAGGAAATTGAAGTATGTCAGATGTTGAATAATTTTTATGTACAGCATATTAGGAAGTGCCTTATTTTACCTAGTGAGTCTTTCAATGCTGCATAACAAAAGCAAGATAATCAAGAGGATGCTAGTGGAAAAAGTAATACAGATTGCTTAAGCTGCCGTGGAAGAATTGCACTGACACCTACATCTTGTAAAGATTAGGATGGGATCTCTGAAAGAGAGTATCAAATTTGACACATAATTGAATACTCTTTCCTCCTGTTCATCTGCATTCTGAAAGTGATTTACCAAGATTACTAGCAGCCCATTTCAGCAGAAAAAACAACAGGGCAAGAAGCAGCACGAGCAGCTGGTCAGCTATCATCGCCTTCTATGAAAAGGAACAGGGTGTAGTTCCTTGTTTAGATAACTTCACACTTGACCAGTTCTTTGCCTTTCTTGTTGGAGCTGGGCTGCTTGACTGATTTGTGATAAATAGGTGACAGCAGTCTCTCTTACAATGCTTTACTATCACCTCTGCTATGTAAACCTCTTATTGGAAACAACATGAGTACTTAAGGAGTACAGAGTGTCATCAGCCTGCTTATCCCTCTGCACTGCACGTGCTGGAGGTGACTTCTTGTTCTGCCTTGTGTTTTCAGTCCAGGCTGCTCACTTGGGTTCTATCCAGGATAGAAAACACACATTCTTCAAGGTATGGAAGGCTGCAACCATCACTAACTCACTGCCACGCACAGCAAGGCTTCATTCACTGCTCCAGTGTGGGTCAGGCTTTTAATAACTGGATACAGCCAGTCAGTCATTTACAGTACTGCACCCATGCGGGAAGCAGAAATGAAATGCTCTTGTGACAGCGATTAATCACCTGCTGCTTCTCCAAAAACATGACACAAATTCACAGACATGTGTCACTACACATGTTAAAAGTAACACAAATATCCCAACACATTTAACAAGCACTGTCTGCAGTAAGATAGGATGATTTTGAAGTTTGTGTATGAGTTTCAGAACTGCTTCCCAAAACTCACCAAAGCGGACTTCCCCACACCTCCTGAACCAAGGACCACCAGCTTGTACTCACGCATGGTGTGGTCTGTTCAAATAGTGATGACCTGGGAAGCAGAGAAAAAAGCCAACCGTTAAAAGCACACCTGCACGTGGAAATTTAGGACACTCTTTGGAAAGTAGCAACACACTCTCCTCTCCAAACACTCCTGAGAATAAAAATCTCTTTAGTAACAGCTATGGTTTTTATTTTTCTACCTGGGCACTCAATTTTCGATGGTTGCTCTGACAGCCCCTGGTTTATACGAGACGCCCAGGACCTGTGAGCCTGCCAGTGCCCAGGGAGGAGGAGGAGGAGGATGAACACACCATGGTACCCACACAGCGTGGCCACACTTGCCTGCTCCCAGCTGCACCGGGTAGCACAAGCTCTCGCTGCCCATCCTCTGCGTTCTCAGCATTTTATAGCACAAAACAACGAGTAGTGGACAAGAAAATTAGATCAGAAAGATGCAAGTAGAGAGGTTTACTCCTCCCACCCACCCACCCCCAGCAGGGAAGGATTTAGGTCAGTGTTTTCTCTCTGGAAAAGGTCAGGCCTAACTTACGGCTGCCAAGGCAGAACCTCTCTGCTCGCCCAAGCAAGGACTCTGCCTTTTTATGGAAATCTTGCAACTCCCTCAACTCGCTACGCAGCACCAGAAAACTTCTCATTCTCACCGCGATTCCCCGACAAATAAGGCAAATGACAAAGCTGGTGATAAACATTTTACACTATGTTTACATTATAAGCCAGGCTGGGCTGTCCCTATCAACGGAGCTCAGCAAACAATGACCTCAGCAGCTAATTATCTTCCCCTCTTCCCCCAGCAAGATAGTGCTTTCTTCCCAAGTAAGGCTTCAGAAACACGAGTGCTATGAGGCCGGGCAAGCTGCATTTCTCAAAGGCATTTCAAACTAACATTGCCACAGGATTTATGGGTTCACTGGCTACAGTTCGAGGATTGCTTTAAGAATAAAAATGTATTCCAAGTAGTTTGATAGAGAAATGTATCACCTTGTTGACTACCATTAACAACACTCTGCAAAGAACAGGGATTGTATTTTTAGCTTTGCAACTGTGGACAACTCTTTTTGACAATCTGTGTCTCAAGTTTATATAATCATTAAATTGGGACAGGGGTTTTTTTATCATTTAAATTCCCAAGGGAAAGCTGTAAAACAGAGAGTCAAGAGGAAACCCACGTGCTGCCGTACACCCATAGCCAGTCCCTGCCAGAGCTGCACCAGGACTGGCAGCTGAACGTGTCCCTGCAGACCTTGCTCAAACCTCCTACTCTGAACCCTCAACCACACAGATTTATGGTCTATATGTGACACAAGTACTGGTTTAAACAATAAAAAAATCCCACGTGCAGCTGGAGAGAGGCTGACAAATTCTGCAACTGGTTTAGCACAACTTTAAGCTCATTTTTAAGTCAGAAGAACAGAAATACAGGCTCGTCTGCCTCTGATGAGGTTCTCTGCTGCAGTCACGTAGCCAAGCTGCCCTCCCCTTGCCCAAGCCTTACAGGGGGAATAAAGCTGAAGCTATCAGCAGCAGCCCAGAGTTTTAAGCACCCTGGGGTGGTTTTTCTTCCAACTCTTGAAACCTGTATGAGCTGCAGTTGCTTAACTTCATAGAAATTGTGAAACTAAGTCAAACTGAAAGGGATTTTCCAGAATGGTAACTCTGAGTATCTAAAAGCAGAGCAAGCAATGTCTATGAACTCTAGAACATTGACAGCCTGTAAGCTCTTCTGCTTGAAAATTTCCCTGAGAAGTAACATTCACTTCCTTTCTTTCAAAAATCACAATTTTCGATGGGAACAAGAGAGGAATTGCAGTTAGCAATGACTTTCCCATGATAATCCTTAGAAATTAAAAGGCAATGCATTTTTTATAAAGTACAGCAACTTATTGATCCAGTTTATCTACCTCTTCCTCCAGTTCCACAGTCTGCTCCACCCAAGAAAACCCAGAAAGCAATGAAGCTAAGGGTTAAATTTAGCTGTGAACTCTTTCACTTCTTATTTATAGTAAAAATACTTGTGGGAAAGTTTCAGCTGGGAGCAGTACAAGACTAACTTCTCATTTCTTCTCTACAGTATTTGCTGATTTTTTTTTTTTCAGGTGCAACAGGAAATCAAGATCCTGAAACGCATGAGCCTTATTACTGTAAACCCCACACGCCTTAATTATCTTGTAGCTCTTTCACAAGTATGTTAATGTTATCTGTTTATACAACATGAATAGAGTGCTCAAGAAATTACTATGCTGCATCCTAGCCAACTTTTCATTTGGCAACTGTTTATGCCCACCTAAATACAGTTAGACACAGTAGCATTCATTTCCATCCAGAGCTCTGTGTAGTGGAGTTGCATGCTGAGAGGCAAGGGCTGCGTTTCAAAACGGAATTATGGGTGTTAATTGCTTCTTTCGATTCAAGAAAAGAATATGATCGCTAAGGAGTGTAAAAAAAATAACTTCTAGTGTTGCCATAAATGTGGTGAAACTGGTTTCATTAGTTCTGAATGCTGTAGTGCAAAAATAAAGCCAAAGCTGAGTGTGTCTCCCTGCTTGTGCTCCCTTTTCCCATACCCACAGCCACCCAGCCATGGCAGGACAGCCAGCACTGCCCTGAGCTGTGAGCTCCCTCCTCCCCGCTGGATCAGACTCTCCAACCTACCCAGCACCTGTACAGCCACTTTAAACACAAGAGTATTAAGTTAGTAGAGTTCAGATTTCATCTATAATAATGAACAAACTTTGCTTCTACACTGCGAAACACCTGACACCTCAGGATTAATCTCTTCTTTATTCTTTAACAGGAGCATCCCTTTTCTGCTGCTACTGTCACCCACGCTGCCTGGGAAGGGACACAAACAGATACTTGTCTATTCACGGCGTAAGCCCCAAACAGCCCAAGTCTTTCCTGAAGAGTGAAGGGCCCTCCCCTGTGAACAGATGAATAGGTGAAGAAAAGATGCAGGATATTTGTTTTAATATATAAAAATGAAAGGCAGTGCAGGCAGGATGGCAGAAGGATCTCTGAGAAGGACCAGCAGACGGATACAAACACAGATGAAGCTGTAACCTGAAACGTGGCTCCAGCACCAGTTCACCTGCATCTTTACTCAGCCAAGTACTCACACACTCTCTTAATCTCTCACCCTGTTGCAACCGAGTAGCTGAATCAGGGCACGAAGCAGCAAAGCTTTCAGGGTATTTCCCAAGCAGTGGAAGGAGCCAGGCAGAGGCTGCAGGGAGGCTGGCATGGGGAGAACGGCCAAGGCCCTTCAGCAGATAAACCTGGCACAAAAATTAGCTGCTCCTGTTACAAAAGTTTTTACCAGCTCATCAAGAAGTTTTTGATTTTGGTAGTGGGGAGAGAGAAGCATAAAGAAAGAAGACTGGGTGCAAGAACTTCACACCAACTTGAAATGTGACGTGCACCCTGTGAAACGCAAATGCCCGAGTACAAATTCCTGCAGCTGAAGAAGGCAGTTTGCATCCGTTATTTCTCCTTCCTTCTCCAAACACCGAGAGAGCTACGAGTAACAGGAGGTGCGGGTGTGCTGCTCGGTGTGAGGAAGACAGTGGTGAGAACACGTGGTCTGGTGCTTTTGCATAACTTGATGAAAGGCTGGTCATCACTGATGACACAATCCCCATTAAGTAAGATGATAAAAAAATAAAAAAACCCAAAAAAACCTAAAAATACCCACAAACCTAAAAAAAAAAAAAAAAGCAAACACGTTCTTGACTCAGCCTTAAACACAATCCCCATTAAGTAAGATGATAAAAAACTAAAAAAACCCCCCAAAACCCTAAAAATACCCCCCAAACCTAAAAAAATAAATCAAAGCAAATACATTCTTGACTCAGCCTTACAACCTGTGGACTGCAATCATAGCTTTGTATTTCGTACAACAACAGAGGACATCAAGAAAGACAGAACACAACTTCAGAGTTTCTTTTCCCCACTACAGGAAACAAGGTTCAAGCAACTTATTTTAAACAATGCATTATACACTTAATTCTTAAATTTCCCCAACTGTCAATGTTTTCAGTCAGCAATTTAATTTCGAAATATATTGAGAACATTAAAAAACTCATACCTTGGCATAAAAGATCTCTCATCAGTGTTAGCAGCGCTGCTGAAGGTTTTTCCAGACTCCCTACAAGGGACTGGAAAAAAAAAAAGAAAGAAAAAAAAAAAGAATTAACCATTTTCCAAAGAACAGTGTATGTAAGCATCAGTTTCAAACCAAAACACGCCTGTTACAAAATTTGCTCTTTACTTTATCAATGGAGATCTACGCAATTTCTGAATACCCAAATCAAATTACCTTAAAAACAAGAACTTCAGCACAATTTAACCTCACCTCTGGGACAGTGAAAGACTAGGGGGGGTTCAGTTGGAAACCAAGAGCAAAACATAGGTTCTACTTGATTAAGTAATTAAAAAAACACTTTACAAACTGGGCTTGCAGTTAAGGTGTCACAGGGAGAAGTGCTTCTCTCTTCTTAAGCACTGTTTTCAAATCATTATCTAAATAGCTTGTTTGTTGTTTTCTTTACATCAGTTTTTGCTGGATTTATGCAAAGTTGCCACCTCTGTCCCCAATCCCCTGTACCTGTTATTTGACGACTGCATTTGCAAAAAGTTCACGTGCATTTCCCAAGTCTCACATTTTCCCTTTCCTCTGGCAATGCTTCTACCTCGATACCCTGGATTTCATCCCCAAATACATACTGACAGCTATCCTCTCTCAATTTCTGACTGTTCATTGTTCAGCTAACCCAGGAGTGGAAATTTTAAAGAACAATTCAATGACCAATTCCCACCCAAAGCCGACAGGATCCGAGCTCCCACATCCCTCTTTCCAACTCACTTGAAACTCCCTCCCCGCCACCTTCACGCCTGCAGCACACCGTGGGAAAGCACTGCCCCAGAAACCTGGGGAAATGTGTTTCTGAAGAACGAGCTACAGATAACAGATCAGCAAAGAGATTTAAAAACTGAGTCAGTACTAAA